ATAATATCTAACATATACAAACTTCAAAGAACTTTATATATAATTGCTATGATCCTGAAAGGATCTTCTGTAATGAAACTTGCAAATGTGCTATGTTTTTAGCAACTTTTTGATTAGGAATTTCATTTAAAGTCTTCAGTCTCTGAAATCAGTCGTGAGACTAAGAGGGAGGATATTAGGTGGACACATACATTTTTGCAGGTGGAAGAGAATAAAAGTAGTCTAATTCTGTTAGCTAAGAGTTACATTTTAAAAATATACTTTTCTTATTTTAAAGACCAAGTTGCAAATTTGTATGAATGGCAAGTACCTACCCAAAATTTAGGCACACAAGCAATGCCAAGTGTTACATACAAAAGAAATAATTATTTGTACTGGACAAGCCCCATGCCTGGCTAGTGTTGTGGTAAACATTTCTCGAAGTGCCTTTTCTTTTTACACAAAAAATATTCAGTCTTTGGAAGGCACGCTGCGTTGCTGTCATCATTTATCTTGTTAAAAGCTGTTATTCTATGAAGGAGTAATTCAGAGAATAGCAGAGCTGCTCAACATCACTGTAGAACAGAGTTTGTTCTGAGGATTCATAAAACCTTGGAAATTGGACATAAGTGTTGAACACACAGACCACAGAAGTGACTGCATGCACATTGTCTGAACATTTCTGTTTGGCATATGTTTAGAAAAAACAAGCTCTCTGCACCAATTTTTCTAATGATATGACATTTTCATTTCTAAATTCTCCCAAGCAAACCTGAATGGCCTGAAAATGTGTTGGTCACAGAGGCTGATGACAGAGTCGGAACATGATATTAGAAAAAAGGCACTGCAAAATAACTTTCATCTTAAAATTAATCCCCTCTTCTCCTGGAGCTGAAATTCCATGAAATGAGAGGGATTAAACAGAGTACGGTGGCATGTTGCTAAGTGCTAGCCATTTCACTGCAGGGGCTATTTGTCAAATGTTTCTGGTAGAGTGTGTAAGGTAGTGGCATTACAAACTTGTCTTAGAAGAGTACATTTAAATATCACTGTACAACCGTATGTAAGAGCGCAGGTACCACTACAGCTATGCAGTATTTCATGTCTGTTTTACCTCTACAGGATGTATAGGGCTGTATTTAACAATATTTTAATAAAGCAATTGTCACACAAAAATTTTATTGAAGAAAAGCTTTGACAATGGTTCAATAACTTTGCACACCTGAAGAAAATGTAGGATTATCAAAGTAACTGTGAATGTTAATATACAATATTCAGAGATCCAATCTGGTATTAAATGGTATTAAATCAGAGATTTATGATTAATTTGATTGCAATAAAAATACTCTAATGTCTTATTCTTTTTTTTTGTTATATCATGCTTTCACTATTTATTTAATAAATCATTAGAAATCAAAGAAATTTTATGGAAGAAAATAAAACTTTATATTCCAAAACAGACTGCTGTCTTGGGTTGTTCTGATATTTTTACATGAACGAATAAAATGTTCTTGAGGCACTACACATATTTCTTTCAATGTGTAAAATCTTATGTAAATATTTCTGAACTTATATCAGACACGATATTCTATATGAAGATGGGTCATACAAAATCTTCCATCTGTAGTCCTGACCTTCCTACGAGGGGAGGCCCTTTGCAATTGCAAACTTAGAAACACTAATGATGAATCTTCCTATGCAGGAGAAAGTATAACTACCTTTATCGATGTGTGAGGCACTAAGACTAAGGGGCTAGAAAAGAAGTTTCAGTATCTCTGTGAATGAACTTTTATTTATTAGGTAATTTTTTTTTCTGTGTTGTGTATACTTGAGAATGTTGTGCATGCTGTCAACAGAGTGTTATATATTCTTTGCCACAGCTGGTAGCTGTAAGGTAATCTGCCCTAGTGACCCAATAGGGTAAAGAATGAACTACTGATTTTAATTTACAACGCATTAATTTAGTCACACTGATGGTCAAATTTAACACAGGGGCTGCTCTCACAGAGGGTAGATAAACCTCGTTTGATTTAACCACAACTTGTGGTTAATATGGGATTCATCACTGGGTAGGTACAGAAGACTACTCTGTCTCTACCACCAGCTTATATTTGAAAGGTATGCTGGTAAAGAAAAAAGAAAAATCAGATTTATTAAATCCCATTTGTTTACAAATTACAGTAAAAAATTTTTTTAAAGGCCACATAATCCATGAAGACTATGTTTAGTAATTTAAATGGTATCCTGTATAATAAATGAGGACTCAGTCTTCTGCACCTTGGTTGATCATAGAAGTGATTTTGTGTCCCTCTTACAAACTTGTCCTGATATCAGGGGTAGACAAAAGTATGTTTCACATCAAATGAACATTTCTTCTTTCTCTGTATTCATATATACAACATCAAGATAATACATAAATATCCATGAAATTATTTCAAGAACATATATGTAAGTATTTTATCTGGAAAAAGTGTGTCCCATTTTATTAGACATTAATGTAAATAATGTATGGGAAACACTTGGGAGTTGCTGATCAGAATACCTTTCTGTTGATAACGTGATTTAGTAGATGAGACAAAAAGCTTTTCCCCTTGAAGCTGTTCGCTTAGGTGAGTTCAAGATGAGTGCTAGCTTAGGGAAGGCTCCAAAGAAATGAGTGGTTTCATTTCTTGTGGAACTCCCACACCATCAAGTTCAACATGTCCCTGGTAGAAATGCTTGTATTCCTAGCTGTCTTGGCAAAATGATGAAAAATGGCATGAACTTCATTACACACCATTCTTTTCCAACTATAACCGACTCTTTGAGCTCAAGAAAGAGGACTTCAAATACCTTATCTGCTTATACACTTTAGAAGCTACACTTTCTGAAGTCGCTCCATAGCTGAGTGACCTGCATTTTTCTATGTTAATATTCTGAAAATATGTGTTTCAGCCTTGCCACTCACAAAAGGAAAGATGCAGAAATAATTCTGTCAGCTGCATAACTCTGCAGGCTGCAGGTTTATCCCATTAAAGACAGCATTTAATTAGAAGTAATGCATGGAACTGTTTTCTAATAAACACTGTAAAGGTCATACAATTACTTTATTAGAAATAAATATTCTTATTTTGCTATTCCTCCTTTCCATTCAAGCTGTACTGATTTGTACTGATATTTCTTCTGCTAGTTAGCTGTCTAAAGAGAAGGGATCTTCATACATGTGGGATTCCTTCCTTGTATTAAAAGAGAGGCAAGATTTAATCTGTTTTTCTGTGGATGCACTTTGGATTTAAGGGCTTTTCAGTTCTCTTCAGTTCTTATGCTCATCTTTCTTGAAAGTAGCAGGCAGAAGTGATGACGTGCCATCATTCCCTCACCAGTGGGCCTAATGTTGTAAGTCATCTAAAACGAGGAACAAATCTTTTGGTTCTGCTTTCATTACTTGTTTATACAGCAGAGTTATAATCGATGAGTAGTATGATCTAAAGAGAAATAACAGCAGCTCCCCAGTGTAGCAGACCCATGCAAAATCGAGTGTCGATATCTTCTGGAGAAATTGCTGTGGTCCTCTTTGCTGTCTTGCAGAATAGGTGTTGCCTTACAGCCACAGACTGGTTCCTGCTCTGATTTCTGATACTTTTAATGCACTAGACTTTTCAGCTTTCTACTCTGATCCCTCCATGCTTGAACTCAGGAAAAAGACCATTAAACACAAGTATTTCAGGCTTAGTATAAAATTCTCATTTGAAATAAGGAGCTATAGGTTAGGAATTCCCTGCACACTGCTTAGCTGCAATTTCAGGGCATGATTAATTTCTCGGTGCAAATCATCAGGCAGGCACCCGCAGGGTTTCCTTACTTGTGCTTAAAGCAGAAGATTGAAACAGAGGAGTGCTCATTCATAGATGAGTTTGTAATTTTACTGTTGAGATACATCTGCAAATTTTTCTCTGTATCAAGAGCTACCGTTTAGATTTATATGCAGTTTTCTGACACGTTCCTTTCAGATGCTGAAGTCTGAGTATCGGGATCTCTAAAATGCCACACGCACCCAGAAAACCAATTTGCAAGGGAGAGAGATGCATTGAAATGCGATGCTTTTCCACAAAACTTCACTGCCAGAGCTTCGCCTCACCCTCCCTCGCGTTGCCGCTAACCTCTCGGCAGCAGCCACACGAGCTGAGGCGCATGAAACATTTGCAGCCGGTTATATCTGACGATAACCTTGACTGTGACATACATCACCATTACATCTCCGTCAGGCGGGAGGGACCCGCGCGGGCAGCGCGCCGGGGCCCCGCAGGCAGCGAGAGGCGGCGGCCACTCGGTTCCTCAGCCTAACGCTCTGACCCTTTGGGATTTTCCCTCCCGCCCTCGACGGGGTCGGGCCCCTCTCTCCCTCCCTCCCGCCCCCGCACCGTCCCGGCCCCCGGCGGCCCCGCTCCCCGCCCCGCCCCGCCGGTGGGCGCGCCGCCGCGCGCCGCCCCGCGCCGCCGCCAGGTGGCGCCCGGCGCTCGCGCTTGTCCCGGAGCCGCGGGGCGGGGCGGGGAGCGGGTGCGGGCGGGGGGGCGGGTCGGGGTAGGGGCCCCGGGCGGGGAGAGGGTGCGGGTGAGGGTCCCGAGCAGGCAGTGGGTGCGGGCCGGGGTGCGGATCGGGGTGAGGGTCCCGCGCAGGGAGGGGGTGCGGGCCGGGGTGCGGGTCGGGAAGCGGAGCAGCCCTGGGGAAGAGGCAGTTTAATAAAGGGGGAGACACCGAGGTGCGGGGGTGCGGGCATGGAGCGGGGCCTTCCGGTGAGCGGTGCGCAGCCTTATGGCCCGAAGTGCCCCAAACAACCTGTCCTTTTTAGTGGTTATTATTACTATTGTTATTATTACTGTTATTATCACCATTATTAAAGTCCGTGAATACCAAATAGCTTCCCGTTTCGTGACGCTGCGCCGTGCGGCCGCAGCAGCAGCCCCTCAGCGCTAACGTGTCGGTGACATGTACAAACAGGGGCGACTTAGCCCGACGGGTTTCAGTAGGAGGAATAAGGGAGGGGGCGAGCGGGTACGGCTTCTCCCCGGCGCCGGTGACACCCTGCGGCGGGGCGCCCCGGAGAGGCCGTCTCGGAGGGAGCCCCACGCCTCGCCGCGGCTGCCCGCGGTGTGCTGGGGCGTGGGGCTGGAGGGGGGGGGGGGGCGAGGGTGCGGGGCTCGGGGTGCCTGGTTGGGGCAGGGGCTGGGGTGCGGGGGGTGCCAGGGCCACGCTCCGCTCCCGGTCCCTGCCGGGTGTGTGTGTGTGTGTGTGTGTGTGTGTGTGTGTGAAGAGGGGAGGAGGGAGGTGGTAGCGGCTGGGGCGGGGGGGGGGGGGGGGGGGAAGATTATTGGCAATGGGCGGGAGAGAAAGAGGCGACTCCTGTTTCCTTTTCTTTCTGCCAGCGCAATCTCGGCTCATTTTCTCTAAGCAATACAAGTTCACGGACGAGCTACCTAGCCAGCCCTCCTCTCCCGTCATGGACCTCCCAGGTAAAAAGGACGTTATCCGCCCCGCCGGCTGTTCCTTATGCAAAATATCATTTTAAATGATAGGAATAATACGATACGGGGTTAGGGCAGCGGTACAGATGCCTCGGGGGAGGTGTAGGGGAAATCTCCCCGGAGAGAGATCTCAGAGTGTTCTGCTGAGCGGGGAAAACTGAGATGCAAGTTCCCAGGGCGATGGCGGGTGAGGTTTTGCCTCCTGCGCCTCGTGTCCATGCCGGGGTGGGAGCCGGAGGATGCCTGAGCCGGCCGCTTCCTTCCCGAGAGTTTAGGGAACCTCCGGGATCGGTGACAGCGGGGGTAGCCTGGCCTGGGGGACAAAGGGCTGGGAAGTACCAGCCGGTGCCCGAGCACAGCAGCCCCCGGGCGGGGAGGAGAGCGGCAGCGGCTCCGAGAGCCCGGCCGGGGCAGCGCCCCGACCCCCCGCAAACCCTAGGAATAGCGAGGCAGCTCCAGCGGGCGGGAGAGGGATCATTACGAATAAGAATAATAAAATCTCCTCCCGTAGTGGCTGGGGCGTTAGGAGACCGACATAAACCGGGCTCGGAGGTGTAATAGAAAGTGGGGCCGTGGGAACTAGCCGGGCTTGGGAGCCCCCCCTCGGCTGTGGGGCGGGAAGGGGACCGTCCGAGGCGCCCACGGTGTGCTGCACCGTGGGTTCAGGGACGGGATCTGCCGCGCTGGCCCCTTGTCCCGCCTCAAAGTACGGCTGGGGCTGCGGCACCCCGCCGCTGCTGGGGGACGGGAGAGAGAGAAGACTGGAGGGAGACGCCGGGCAGCGAGGTCTCTCCCAGACCTGTTGTGCCGGCTGGGGCGCCCGGGGCGGGGAGCCCGCTGCGGCGGGGCGCCCGCCCGCTCCTCTGCTCCACCGCCGCCTTCGCCCTTGCCAGGCTGCTGCGCGCCGCCCGCCCTCTGAGGAGACTCCTTCGCCCCGCGCGGAGGAGGAGGAGGAGGAGGAGGAGGAGGAGGCGGAGGAGGGAGGAGGAGAAGGGGAGGAAGGCGCGGCCCCAGCCGCCGCTTCCCAGCCGCCGTCCCGCAGAGCGCTGGCCGCCGGGCGCCGCGGCGGCAGCAGGCGCGCAGCCCCCTCGGCTCCCCGCGGCCGCCCGCCCGCCCGCCCGCCCGCATGGCGGCGGCGAGCCGCGGCCCGGCGCTGGGCATGGGGCGGCGGCGGCGGGGGGCGGCGCGGCCGGGGCCGGCGGGCGGCTGCTGCTGCTGCCTGGCGGCGGCGCTGCCGCTGCTGCTGCTGCTGCTGCTGCTGCTGCCCGCCGGGTGCCCGGTGCGGGCGCAGAACGACACGGAGCCCATCGTCCTGGAGGGGAAGTGCCTGGTGGTGTGCGACTCCAGCCCCTCGGCCGACGGCGCCATCACCTCCTCCCTGGGGATCTCGGTGCGCTCGGGCAGCGCCAAGGTGGCCTTCTCGGCCACCCGCAGCACCAACCACGAGCCCTCCGAGATGAGCAACCGCACCATGACCATCTACTTCGACCAGGTCAGCCGTCGCCTGCTTTGCCTTCGCTGCCCCGCTCCCCGGCGCCCCCGCCCCTCGCCCCCCGTCACGGCGCGCTTCTTTTGGTTCGTGCTCCCCTTCCACCTCCTAGTCCTGACCCCCGCCGCTCAGTAACGGTTGTACCGCCCCAGAAAGAGTTGGAGAAGTTCTTTTAGGTGGCGGCGGGGCTTTCCTTGGGGGGGGGGGGGGGCGGGGGGGGACGGACTGACTTCTTGCCCGGCCCCACCGCTATACGCGGTGTTTGTGCCTCGGCCGCTCGCCGGGGCGCGTTACAGCCGAGGATTGCCCCGGGCAGTCAGGGACGGCCCGGGAGGACGGGTGCGCACCCCAGCTTCGGTGCTCCGTCGGGAACGCTCATTTTCAGGGCAAGGGGGGGACGGAGATTTACCGGCGGGGAGCCGCCGGATCTGCCTGCTACCGAGCGCATTCGGCAGTGTTACAGCATCTCTCTGGGGGAGGGAGGGCTGAGGAAGAAGAGGGTGTTTCCCGCCTTAACAGCCGAGGGCGACGATGCCCCCGGTGGGTTGTAGCGGAGCGATGTTACCCTGCCGGGCGTACAGCGGGCAGAGCAGCGCGCAGCCCGGCCCGGCCGCCCTGCCCCTGCCCCGCCGCGCTGCTTGCCTCCCGTCCTTCCGTTTCATATTTTGCGATGAAATTTACTTTTTTCCTACCGCCTCTGACTCCTTAAGTAGTATTGCAGAGTCAGCCAAAATTAGTACACGCAAACTGTTTACTCTGTTTTTTTTGTTGTTTGTGTTGTTTTGGTTTTTTTTTGCTGTTTTTTGTTGTTGTTGTTGTTGTTGTTTTGTTTGTTTGTTTTTTTTTTTTTTTTTTTTTTGCATCTGTCTGTCTGCGTGTCATTCATCTGTCTACCTGTCCCTTTTAATGAGTTTGCACAGCTGTTCCTCGCATACAAGATCTCATACAGTCCGATCAGTACAGGAAAAAAAAACAAACAAACAAACACAAAAGCAAAGCAAGCTTGCTTCATATATAATGTGTTTCAGACTCTACCCCGCAATGATCAATTCTCAGGAGTTTGAAGGCGTTCCTCCGTTGGTGCTCCCACTGTAATGGATTCTTTGTTGTGGGTTGTTTTTTTTTTTTTTTTTTGTCCTTTCCTGGAAAGAATTGGATTTGGCTATTTGGGAGGATAGGCTCCGGATTTGGGGGCGTTTTACTTTTGTTTCCTTCCGCCCCATCAAAGCAGGGGTCGCAGCCCGCAAAGCCGAGCGTGGCCGGGGCGCCCCGGGGGCGGGCACGGCGCCGCAGCCGGATCGGGCTCAGCCGCTCGCCCCACGGGATCGCCACGGCCCCGCGGGTTTTCCTCCCCTCGTTGCCCGTGCCTTTTGAGCCAGATCATGATGGATCCTGGAGAGAGTGCGAGCGGGTCAGCCGGGGGCCGGATCCTGGTCAAAGCGGCGGGCTCCGCACCGCCAGCCTCTGGGGGGGGGTGCAGGATGCGGCCGCCGCTTCCGAGTGGGGCTTTACACATCTGCCGAGGGGCTCAACCCTTTCTCTTTTTTTTTCTTTGTTTAAAAAGACGTTGAAATACATGGCAAATAAAGATTGTTGTTGGGGAGGAGTGGGGGCCGCCCACCCCAGGCGCCTGAGGAGGGAGCGGGCCAGGCGGCACAGCCCTCCAGAGGGGCAGAGAGGATGAGCTGGTGGCAGATGTTGCTGTTGCTGAGCATCCTCTCTCCTCCTTCGCCCCTTTTTGCAGCCCGATTTTAGTTCTATACCCTATTAAACTCGAGGGCAGGTCTGATTTCAGTAATGCTAGCTAAGAACCATACATTTGCACTATGAGTTGAGGAGTTTAGGAGTTTTTTTTTTTCCTCGCTGCTTTGTCCTCCCTCCTTTCCTTCCCTCCACCCCGCTTCTGACACCTTTGCTTTAATTGACAGTGCAGTGTGGACATTTGCACTTCATCTAACAGGCTTTGGAGATCATTTTTGCATGACTACATCGTTTTATGAAGTGTGGTGCTTTTTAAATGCCTCTGTAACTTGGCTCCTTTCCCCTGCAGTGCACTTTTAATTGTGCTGCAAATGCCATTTCGGTTAGGCTTTATATCGGTCATGGAGCTCATGTCAGATTTTCACTGGAGCTTTTCTAAGGTGGGGGTCTGATTTTTCTCTTTCTCTCTCTCCTTTTGTTTTTGTTTTGTTCTGTTTGTTTACTTTCCAGGTATTAGTTAATATTGGCAACCATTTTGATCTTGCTTCCAGTATATTTGTAGCACCAAGAAAAGGGATATATAGTTTCAGTTTCCACGTGGTCAAGGTCTATAACAGACAAACCATCCAGGTGGGTTGTGATCTAAAGAAGATACCGTCTTTCTTTTTTTTTTTTTTTCAAATGCTCATTTTTAGACACTAAAGTATATTTATAAAACCAGCAAATGAAGAACGAGACTGCAGGTTGTTTTAGTTAAAAGGGTCTGCATGCATAACCGAAATCACACATTGCCTTAGCTTAATTCAGCCCTGTTTCTAACCTGCACAAAAGTTTAGCGATGTGCGCAGGGCAAAAAAGTCATTGAGAGTATTGAGAAAACTCAGATTCTCTCTCTTTGCGCTTTTTAGGTAAGTTTAATGCAAAACGGCTACCCAGTGATTTCAGCTTTTGCAGGGGATCAGGACGTCACCAGAGAAGCAGCCAGCAATGGGGTCTTGCTCCACATGGAAAGAGAAGATAAAGTGCATCTCAAACTGGAAAGGGGTAACCTCATGGGAGGGTGGAAATACTCAACCTTTTCCGGCTTCTTAGTCTTTCCACTATAAAAGAAGGCCAAATAGGAGACAGATCCATGAGCCGGAGCAAGGATTCAACCGTTAACGACACCCTGAACTTGGCAGCACATGACAATATTTCCAGTCACCCCGTCAGACTGTCATGGTAGAAGAATTATAACCTTCTAAACTCCAACATTTGCTTTGAATATTGACAATTCCTCGGGAACCTGCGCCTCTAATTAGTTTTAGACGACAGTGATCTTTAGGAGAAATGAAATTATCGACCTGAGCAATTTGTACCTGTGATTGTAAAGTCAATTTCGGATTTTATTGTTGGGATCATTGACTTCCTTATTACTTTTTATTTTTTTTTCCTCTCTTTCATTTTTTCCTCTTTTTTCTTTCTCTTATTGTTGTCCCAATAAGAAAAATAACTTGGACCACACAATTTGATTGCTTTGTCAAAGGCTCATTCCAGAGCCAGAAGAATGAAGTATTCAGCCCAATGAGGTGTTCTTTCCATGCTTTATTTCTTTGTGTTGTATAGCCTTAAGGAAAAAAGAGAAAAAAAAAAAAAAAAGAAAAAAAAAGAAAAAAAAAAGGGAAAAAAAAAGAATGGCTTCATGGCTTCAGTCTCAGTCCTGTATTTTTCTGGGGGAGGGGGATTCTGGACATTACTGTGTCAAGAAGTGCTTTATCCAGTGAAGCAAAATTTGCACGATTGGAACCTTATTTGTTTTGTGTTGTTCGTGTTTTTCATCGACTTTTTCTTTTTCCTGATTTTTGTTTGTGTGTGCTAAAAATGTAAGCTAGATTGATCAATAAGACGAAACAAAGCACATATATACCCTGTAGCTCTAAGTAAAGCTAACCAGTGAACAATTCTGTCTGCACTTTCCAGCTGATCTTTATAGACCTATTTAGAGAGGGAGAAAGAGAGAGAAAGAGAGAGAAAAAGAGAGCTACATGATCCTTCAATTACAATCTGGAAACCGGTAAAGGAACTGACATTTCTCAATTGTCCTGACATTTCTAGAAGCAACAATGGAGGCTTTGAATATCTTCTCTGACCATACCCTAAAATATATCCTTTCTTTGCATTACCGAGCGTATTTTGGGTGCTTTTATCTGATATTTATTTGATGTATTTGTCCACTAATTCTTGAGTACACATTGTGGGAACACGGAGAGATGGCAGAGCAAACTCTTCCTCTTCTAAATTAAATAAAACCATCTTCGCTTGACCTGTCCATGGCAAGTATTGGAGGAGTTGCCACTAGCATCTTTGACAGCCTTTGGGAGAGGGGCCTCAGAGGATCAGCAAATTCACCAGAAGTTGCACAGGTGCCATGCATTTATTAGCCGTGTGTGCTCTTCCCAGTACAAATGGCCTCAGAGTTCTGGGGGTGGACTGACATCGATATCGGAGGTTAGAAAAAGTTATTACCCCAATCAACAAGAAGTAAAATATCAGGCCAATGTCAGTTGCATCCTTTTGCCTCATTCTCGATAAACAGATCTTATTTCTTCACTTTTTTTGTGAAGGTTGGTGTATTAGGTGTGCTGAGGAAAATCTTGCTTAAGGAGATCCAAGAGGAATGTTTATATTATTTTATATGATTTTTATATTTGTTTATTTAGTTTGAAATATTTCATCTTGCTATTAATCCCACAAGGGTAGATGTGTATAAGAATTTATTTTTGTCAATTTTACTCCTCTGCCACAAACGAATATAATGCAAAGGCATTTTCAGCGAATCGGTGGTAGCTATGTTGTATTTCAAAATTATGGTGGACATGTCATTTTCATTGTAAATTTATCATTAAAGGGACAAAGTCAATTAAAGTCATATATTCTTTA